CCACCACCACCGCGGCAGGACACACTCCGAAACGCTGGAGACGGCCTCGCACTACGGCCAGCTGACGCGCGCGCGGATGGACGCGAAGCCGCTCTACGAGGCGTTCGAGGGCTGCGGCTGGATCGTCCACCACGCGGGGAAGCTCTGCGACGCCCGCTAAACTTTTCCAGGGGGAGATTCCAGCGGTCGCCCCGCCGCCGGTCGTCCCGCGCGGCGCCCGCGGTCCCGACGCGGCGCGGGCGGACGCGGGCCCCCGGATCCCGAAGCGGCTCGCGGAGCGTTACGCCCGTACCCGCGCCTAGACCGCCTTGACGACGGCGGGCGGGAGGTCCTCGGAGGCGGCCCATGATCGCGGGTGCTTCTCGCCGAGCGCGACGAGGTCCTGGAGCGCCGCGACGACCTCGGCCTCGTCGAGGCCCGCGAGCGACTTCTTCTCCGTGTGGCCGTAGCCGTAGGTCGCGAGGAAGTAGGGGTCGGCCTCGCCGGTCCGCACGAGGAAGGGGAACTTGGGGTTCAGCGTCTTGAGCCCCTCGTAGTTGTTCGCGAGGAAGGACCGCACGGGCGCGCTCGCCGGCGACTCGGGGCAGCAGACGATGCGCAGCTCGTGGAGCCGCCGCGAGATGAGCGCGCGCCAGGCCATACCCTCGAACGGACGTGCACGGCGTGCCCGTGCGCGCAGCTCCCCGACGCGATCGGCCTGTTTTTGCGGCCCCTCGCCACAGCAACCTCGCCCGCGCCGATGGTGCATCCAACGCATGGGCCGCATGCGGCTGCCCCGACGACGCTGCCAGCTCGGCCAGCATGGCGCCCCTCCGTGTCCACCCCGTGATGGCTGAGCAGCAGCGCTAGCCTCGGCCAGCATGGCACCCCTCCGTGTCCACCCCGTGATGGGGCAGCCGCCCGAGGCAGCCGCACCAGTCGCCGCACCGGAGGAGGCGGAGGAGGTCGCGCTCGTCGCCGCGGCGCCGGCGTTCCGCGCGGACAAGGAGAATCCCTACGCGCTCGCCTCGAGCGTCCACGTCCACGAAGACGAGGAGGAGCACTTCGACCTCCACGACGCCGACGACGCGCTCGACGACGTGCGCGAGGACGGCGACGACGACGACCGCGGCGGCGGCTGCGTCTGGCACGCGCAGATCGTCCGCGACGACTTCGCGGACCCGAAGCACTGCGACGCGGCGGGCGCGTTGAAGCCGCGGCGGCCGCTGCCGCAGATCCGCGCGGGCGCCTTCTTCGCCGGGGTCGCGCGCGCCGCCGACGGCCGCTACGTCTTCGACGGCGGCGGCCCGCTCAACGGCTGGCCGGGCCTCGCCGAGCCGCTCGAGGTGCTCGCGATCACGTGCCGGGTCCGCGGGACGCTCCGGTCCGTCGTGAAGCGGTTCTGGGACAGCCGCTGGGCGGGCGGCGCCGCGCCGACCTTCCCGGACCGCCGGGCCGTCCGGAGCGTCCGCGCGACGCTGCGCGCGCCGGCGTGGACCGCGCGCGGCTACGTGCCGCGGAGCCCCGGGTTCTGCTTCTGGGTCACGCGCAGGGACGGCGCGCTCGCGTGCTTTCCGGGCCGGGCCATGGTCGCCGCGGCGAACGACGCGCGCGCGACGCGGTGCCACCTCTTCGCGCACCGCTACAGCAAGGCGAGGGAGTCCGCGAAGGATGTGCTGACCTACCACGCGGCCGTGCTCCTCGAGTGGGACGACGGCACGGCGACGGTCTGCGAGCTCGCGTGGCTCCACGGCCTCGGCGGCTACGGCGGCCGCTGCAACTGGCTCCCCGCGGCTCCACCCGGCGAGGCCACGGAGCTCATCGGCGCCATGCCGGCGGCCATGCAGGCGCCCTGGCGGAGCGAGCTCTGCGAGGTGCGCCTCGTCGACGTCGACTTCACGGACCGGGCCCAGCTCGAGGCCTACCTCGCGAGGTTCGCCGGCCGGCGGCCGACGGACCGCTTCCTCGACCCGAAGGTCCAGCACTCGGGCGACGTGCGCCTCGCCTTCCGGACCAAGAAGCACATCTTCGCGATGATCCTCAACTACCAGATGCGCGACGCGGCCTACCACGAGGAGTCGCGCAACTGCCAGACCTTCGCGGCGGACCTGTACGGCTTCGCCGCGGGGAAGAAGGGCATCGAGCCCTACTCCCAGGTCTGCCGCGTGCTCTACAAGCCGCGGCCCCACCTGTTCCTCTACGACCCCGACCAATATGCCTAATGCGCGTGTTATCGCCCGCGCTTGTGGGAGAACGACGTCCCGCGCGTGAGCGCGGCCGGCGCCTCGGCGTCGCCCGCGTCCTCGCCGAAGTTGCCGTGGGGCTTCGCCGTGACGGGCTCGGCCTCGAGGAAGTCGTCGCGCGCGGACGCGGCGAATTTCAGGAAGACCTGCTCCAGCGACGGCTGGTTGAACGCGTACTCGTCGACCCCCAGCGCCTTCTTCCGCTTCTCCAAAGACCGGAACGCGCTCGCGACGTCGACGGCGTCGCGGTCGATGAGGTAGGTCCGCCGGTTCTGCATGACGCTGTCGAGCGCGCTCCGCTTGGCGAAGGACGCGTGGACGAACTCGTCGAGCTTCGCGGGGTCCGCGTCGAGCGTGTGGACCAAGGTGAGCTCGTAGTGGCGCCCGTACGCGTCCACCAGATGCTGGGGCGTCCCCAGGCAGCGCATCGTGCCCTTGGTCATGATGGAGATGCGGTCGCAGAGCACCGTGACCTCGTCCATGAGGTGCGACGTCAGCACGACGCCCCGCGCGGACATCGTCGCGCCCAGCACGTTCCACAGGTTCCGCCGCGCGACGGGGTCGAGGCCCGCGGACGGCTCGTCGAGGAGCACGCAGGCCGGGTCGCCGATCAGCGCGATGGCGCAGCAGAGCTTGCGCTTCATGCCGCCGCTCAGGTCGCGGCTCAGCTTCGCCGCGTGCGGCTTCAGCTCGAGATCCTCCAGACACGCGTCGACGAGCGCGCGCGCCTCGCCGCGCGGGCAGCCCCGGAGCATGGCGAAGAGCTCGAGGTGGTCCTGGGCGCTCAGCGAGTCCCAGAGCGTGTTGTGCTGGTCGACGACGCCCAGGTGCTTCGCGGCCGCGTCGAAGTCGTCGAGCACGGAGTGGCCCATGATCCGCGCGTCCCCGGCCGACGGCACCGTGTGCCGAATGATCATGTTCAGCGTCGTCGACTTGCCCGCGCCGTTGGCGCCCAGCAGCCCGAAGCACTCGCCGCGGCGCACCCGGAAGCAGTTGTTGCGCACGGCGACGACGTCCGCGTCGCCGGGCTTCGCCGCCGGGAAGACCTTGCGGAGGTGCCTCACCACGAGCGCGGGCGCCGCCCCCGCCTCCTCGTCGCCGCCCGGCCCGTCGGGCGTCGCGAGCACGGCCTGGCGCTCCGCGCGGACGTCGTCGTCCTCCTCGGGGTCCAGGTCGTTGCCGTGCGGCGGCAGCGCGACGGGCAGCCGCGCGCGGCCGTCGAGATAGAGCACTAATAGCAAATGGCAGGCGCCCTCGACGGCGAGCACGACCATGATGTCCCGCGGCGTCGGGTAGACCGTCTGCTTCGAGACGTACTTCTTGAAGTGGCCCGCGCCCATCTGGAAGAAGCCGATCCAGAAGCTCGTGTACGGGCTCGTCACGGCGCCGAGCCAGAACTGGCCCGTCTCCACGCGCGCCTTCGTGAAGATCTTCGGGAAGCGCTTGTGGGCTAAAACCCAGGCCACGAGCACGATGGTCTGGGGCAGCATGGTCAGCAGCAGGTTCAGGCCCGGGATGCCGACGACCGCGCGCGCGGGCGACGTCCCGAACAAGAAGGAGAGCGAGTACGCGTAGGCGATGAGGAAGGCGCCCCAGACCGGGAGCAGGTAGGACATGGCGCCCTGGCGGATCCAGCGCTGGGGCGCGACGCCGATCATGATGGCCCACATGGCCGCGAGCACGACGCCGTAGAGCGCGCCGTCGCCAACGAAGTTGCCGACCCAGTACGTCGGCGCGTCGACGCCCATGACCGCCAGGAGGCTCCGGAGCTTGACGCGCCGCTCGTGGATGATGCGCGCGGCGATGGCCGCCGGGTAGGCCATGAAGGCGATGGAGATGAAGTAGGCCGCCGCGAAGTCGTTCGCGACGTTGAGGTCGCCCTTGCCGAACATCTCGTACTTGTCGCAGAGGAAGGACGCGAAGAAGCCGAGGATGGGGAAGAGGGCGTTGAAGGCGTCGGCCTTGGAGCGCTTCGCGACGCTGAGGCGCGCCTTGGCGAGGCCGTAGATCTGCGTCGCGGGCGACGGCACGTACGCGCGCCCGCTCCCGAGCGCGCGCGCCGTCGCGCCGCGCGCGGCGTCGCGGTCGAGGCGCGCGTGCTGGCCGTCGACTTTCAGGAAGACGTCCTCGAGCGTCGACACGGCGACGCCGTAGGACGCGATCTCGAGCTTGCGCTTCTGCGACTCGAGCGCGTCGAAGAACCGAGCAAAGTGCGGCAGCGCCGTCGACGGCAGCGTGGCGACGATGACGTCGTCGTGGGCGGCCTCGGCGCCTTCGGTGAGGCGCTTCGCGCCCTCGCCGAGCTTGCGCGCGAGGAGCTCGTCGAACTTGCGCAGGGACGGCGCCGCGGCGTTTTTGTCGCGCTCGCAGACGACGCGGTAGCCCGCGCCGTAGTACTGCTTGAGGAACTGGGACGTCCCGCAGCACCGCAGCACGCCGGAGACCATGATGCCGATGCGGTCGCCCAGGGCGTCGGCCTCGTCCATGTAGTGCGTCGTCAGCAGGACCGTGCGGTCCCGCTTCACGGCGGCGAGCAGGTCCCAGAGCTCGCGGCGCGCCAAGGCGTCCATGCCCGCGGTCGGCTCGTCGAGCAGCGCGAACTTGGACCCGCCGCAGAGGGCGATGGCCGTCGACAGCTTGCGCCGCATGCCGCCGGACAGCTCGCAGGCCAGGTGGCTCCGCCGGTCGCCCAGGCGGAACCGGTCGAGGAGGTCCGCGGCCGCGCGCTCCGCGTCCGCCTGGGCCCGCCCCTTGAGCCGCCCGAAGAAGACGACGTGCTCGTAGCAGGACAGCTTCTCGAAGAGGCAGTCGTGCTGGGGGCAGAAGCCCGCGAGCTGGCGCACGGCCGTCATGCCGCCGCGGATGCCGTGGCCGTAGACGACCGCGCCGCCGTCGTCGCGCTTCGAGTCGCTCGCGACGATGCCCGTCAGGAGGCCGCAGGTCGTCGACTTGCCCGCGCCGTTGTGGCCCAGCAGCGAGAAGATCTCGCCCTCGTACATGTCGAGGCTGAGGTCGTCGACGACGGCCTTGCCGCCGTAGACCTTCCGGAGGTCGCGGCAGACGACGGACGGCGGCGTGCCGTGCGTCAGCTTCGCGTCCTGGAGGGCGCCCGGCGCCGGCCGCGCGTGCTCGCTCGCGAGGAGCGGCTCCATGAGCGCCAGGTCGTCCGC